AACGTCCTGGAGCAATCTCAGGGTGATCACAGAGCCCAGGATGCTAAAGACCCCCTGGAGCACCCCCTGTCTGAGATCCCCAGGAGCGTCCCCTGAGGGTGGGGTGGGAAGGAGGCCACAAGGAATCATGGTCCACTTTCACTTGTGGGGCTGGGGAAGCCAATGAGGGCTGACCTGTCCTCCAAACACTCTCAGGGCCAACCCAGAGGCCACAGTAGTACCCAGCTGTCACTGACCACACCCGTGGGCCTTCCAAGGGCCTCAAGCTACACAGCCTGAGTGCCCGCCCTTTCCCTGGTGTCTCTGGGAACACGGAGAGCGTGGGGACACCTTTCACACTGGCCCTGTCCTCCCCCAAGGCCGGCTCTTTCTCTATCCCACATTGTCCCTGAAGTCACCCGGTGCTGCTCCCAAGCAACCTGGAGACAGGCTGGATGCCTGGTGACTCCTGAAGTACACGGGTGGATGGAGGGAGGAACCAATAAGCCAATGTGCTTTTGAGTCCTACCGCACTTGGGTTTTAACTCTAAGCCCTGGTTTCGCGGTTGAAAGCAACCTCCTTTGAAATGAAAAGGAAAGAAGCAGACATAAAAAAGGAAAGTAATTCCAAGTTAATTCCATTGATGGTCTCTGGGTCCTAAATAGGTAATGCCTGAGAGGTGGGCCCTGTAGGGCTGGGTTAGGGGAAGGAGGGACACGGGTGGGTGGGGAGAGGCCAGCCCCCCACTCCTGACCAGAAAGAGTCCCTTTTAACTACCCAGGGCTGCTGCCGGTCCTGTGAATCTCTCTTCCGGCTGAGCTGTTTTGTTAATCACCCTCAGACTCTCTCTTACATCCTGCTTGATCCATTCCCTCGGTATCACTCTCTGGGCCTGTGTCTTTGATTTCCTAAGCCGGGTAAACTCTCTCCTCCATCCCTGTATCGCTGTCCGGATGCACATCATGTAAAACAGTACAATATATTCGTTTGTTTGTTCATTCACTTGTTCGGGTCACTTATTTTCGTAGCCGACTGTGTCCCAGTCATTGGGCACCCAGTTCTAGCCACTGGAGATGCTATAGAGGGCACCACAGGTAAAACCCACTTCCTGGAGTTTCCAGGATCGTGGGCCAGGCAGATACTAGAAGGAGACATGAACGAGTCTCTGGTCCATTTCAGGGGTCAATAAGTGTGATGAATTAAGACAAAGGCGGTCGGATAAAAAGCAGCAAAACAGGGCCTGTTTCAGAAGAGGTAATCAGAGAGGGCCTCTGGGAAGGCAGCATCTGCACACAGCTCTTTGGACCAAAACTGTGGAACACAAAAAGGGCCTGAGGGGTCTCTGCTCTCAAAGAACTTGCAGTCTAGAAGGAGAGAAACAAGCTGGCTTATCACAACTGTGCAGGGCCAGATCTGATTCAGCGGAACACGACCACATAATGGAAATCAGTGATCTTTCCAAACACAAACCTGGCCAGGTCCCTCAGTGGCTCAAGAATCTTCAATTGCTCCCCACTGCGCTCGGCTCAAAGCCCTCCATCCTAGCCCTTCAGGACCTTCTCTATCCCTCCCACCCGATTCTCAGTCTCACCCCCAGGGCTGCCCTCCATGCCCATCTGCCACAGAGACACCCAAGTCAGTGCCAGGTCATGCGCCCCACCCATGCCTTCCCAAAGGCTGCTTCCTTTTCCAACCTCGAGTAACCCAAGTCAACCTCCATCACTCATAAGAGCACAGTTCATTAGCATGTCAGGTGGTCAGGAAAGTTTCACTGCAGGAAGAAAGGGTAGCGATAAAAAAGGCAAAGTGTAGTCATAAAAGATGAAATAACCCTCTTCCCTCCTGAACTGCTGCCCCATGGCTCACAGCTTCCTCCTGGCAGCACTCTGGGACATGCTTCTCACATCCGCTGCTGCCAACTGTTTTCCCTGTCAGCTCGTCCCCAGCCTCGCTGCCCGCCCCAGGGCCCAGCATCACACCAGCCAGACAGGAAGCTCCATCAATATTTAGAGAGCAAGCGAAGAAATGTGAGAGGAGACCAGTTCTCCCCAGAGAACTTTGGGGAGTTCTCCAACCTCATCAACCTTTGGATTCCATCTAGTGGCGGGTCTGCCACCGTCTCTCCTGTTGGATGTGTCCCCTGGGCTCTTCTATGCCTCTCAAAGCCCCAACTCCAGATGTTCCAGACTTTATTATTCTTGGAGGGGTCTCACGGTTTTGGAGAGATACTAAGCTTACCACCCTAGTCCAGGAGCCCCTCTCCAACACACACACACACACACACACACACACACACCACACACACGCGTGCATGCACAATCCTCTCTCACATCCCACAGGATGGAGCTGGGGATTTCCTAGTGCCTTAACACTCAGGCCTGCCCTGTTACAGATAAAAAGCTGATAAGATAGAAGGTGAGAGAGGAGTAGAGGCCATATGGCTCTGAGTGCTGGAGCCTCAGTCCTGTTCCCAGGTTGAGCTGCTTCCAGGAGGACCCAGGTGTCCCCTGGATGTGCTGCGGGTCACACTGCCCATTACATCCTCTACCCCCTAAATGTCGTGTATCTACTCCATGGGAGGGGAGTTCCCTAGTTGCCTATGATCTGATCTGATCCAACAGGCAGGACAGGCATTTATGATCATCCTCATTTGTCAGATGAGGAAACGGCGGCTCAGGAAGAGCAAATAACGGCTAAATGACGGCATCACCATGCCAGGAAGAGGAAACAGGGAATAAGTGATGGTTGTACCGTTTCACATCTAGGGAAACTGAGGTCTCACAGGGAAAGGTAAATTTGAAACAATCTCCCTGCTCTCCACCAGACACCATCTCTCCACGTGAGGTCAGATCTGCAGTAGCCCTGGTAGATTAACTTCCTGGGTGTCCACGGAGCAGGGAGACAGGCAGCTGCAAGGTTTGGGGTTCCCGCTAAGGCCCTCATCCCGCCCTGCTACGGATTCCTTCCCCACCCTGCCCCCAAGTGGCAGTCTAAGCAGCAGTCCCTTCTGTGACATTGGCTGCCAACCAGCCCTGTGTCCAGGGCCAGTCAGGGTCCAGTAAGGCCACAGCCCACCAGATTTCAACCACCCCCTGCCACGGCCATGCTGGACAGACGTGGCCCTTCCATCTACCCCACGGTAATTAAAAACATACCCAGGCCTCTTCCAATGCAAGACAGGCCAATTTTCCTCCCCTCCAGCACCGCTGACTACAACCTAAATAGCAATATTTATGCCAAGCTCCCATAATACTGTAAACATCCCAATGTATAGCAGGCCAGCACATGAGTCATTTCCCCAAAGCCAGAGTTAATAAGTGGTACCTCAGCCATATTCTGGGGGCTTCTGCCAGCAGCCGGGCCCCATGGCTGCCCTCCACAGCCAGGGCCCATAGCACCCTGGTGCCCGAGCGGCCCCACTCTGCGAAATCACAGGCAGCCACCAAATCCTCCAGGAGCCGGAGGACAGCTGCCTTGATGCCAGAAACTGTGGCTGCCATCCAGCCAACCCCCTCCCCAACTTCGGTCATAACACCCTCATTACCGAAGAGAAAGTAAAGTTATAGCCCAGAGATCCTATCACACCATCCAGAGGCTGCAGCCCCAGTGCCTGATCTGATCAGTTTTTTATCCTTAAGAGGGGAAGAGGCTCCTATCACCCAAAGTGACCCGAGAAGAGAGGTCTATAATGCCTCACCTCTCAGCCCATGGTGGTCGAATGCTAGAAGAGGCCACCCTGTTTAAGGACAAGAAAATCCAGCAAAGTGAGTCCTGCTTCAAAGACCTTAGACCCAGGTTCTATTATTTTATTTATTTTATTTTTTTACCACCCAATGGCCATGGGTGGGACGCTGTACTTTTCTGAGACTCAGTTTTCCTATTTCTTAAAAGGGAAGAACAGCCATACCATCGGGCTTTCCTAGAAGTCGTACCTTGAAGGACTCAGCACAATTGCGGGAGGGGAAGCACTTTGTAAGGCTTGAAGTACTTGTCAACTGCAACCCCGCTGTAAACCACAGAGCTGTGTAGTACAAAGTACTTCATAAACTGTAAAGCGGTTTGAAAACTGTAAAGCGCAGTACACCCGAGAGCCATTATTCACATTCATTCCTTGCCCCACAAGCTCGGCCATTCCTGGTGGACACACCCAGCCCCCACTAACAACTTTCCCTCCAGAGCGAGCTAGCTGGGGAGACCTGGCAGCAGCTCCTGCCCTCCTAGGGCTTGGGTGGTACCAACACAGGAGGCCACAGGGAGAGGGCCCAGCGACCCTGGCCAAGGCCAACACATGGCAAGAGCATCTGGTCCGGCCCTGGTGGCAGCTGGAGAGTTCCCGGGGCTCCAGCCACCACGCTGAGCTCTGCCGCCCGCGGGGCGGTGGCCGGTGGGGGATGCCCGAGACCCCGCGAGAGGGAGAGATGCCCACGGACCCATCCCCCGCGCAGTCCGCCCGGGGAGGAGACCCCATTGTACGCCGCGGGCGATGGGCAGCACCCGCACGCTCGCTTCCACTCTCGCCAGTGCCTGCGCTCCTGGGCGCCAGGCCCCCATCCTTGGGGCGCGCAGACTGGGACCCCCCACCCCGGGCAGCTGCGTGGCCTCCTCCCTCCGCTCCCTGCCAAACTTTCCAGCCCCGGCTGCGCTTCGGGGCCCCCGGCCCGCGCCCCTCCACCCGGTGCGGAGCGAGGCCAGGCCCGCGAGGGGGCTGCCCCGGCCGCGGGCGGCGAGCGCGCGTGGGCAGCCCCAGCCCTGGGCGGCGCTCGCCGGGCTGGCTACAAAGCCTCGGCAAGATGGTCCCTTCGCCTCCTCCTGGCACAGTCAATCAGCGCCCGCCGCTCTCCGAGCGCCCGCGGGGCCCGCGCCACCCGGCACGGCCGGACACACCTCCCCGCAGCCACCTGCGCCCAGCGCCGGCCCCCGGGCAAACTTTGCGGCCGCGGGCGGAGGTGGGCGCCGGGGCAGCCGTGCCTGGCCGCTCCCCGCCCCCATCGCCAGCCCGCCCGCCCGCCCGCCCGCTCACCTTCCACGGCGGCGAGCAGCGGCAGCAGCAGCAGCGCGGCCCCCAGCCTCCGCAGGGCCATGGCTGCGCTTCCCGGCGCCTCGGGCCACCGCGCCGCGGGACCCGGGCGGGAGCGCGCGCCCCAGGCTCGGGGGGCCGGGGGGAGCGGCGAGGCGCGGCGCACACACAGCCACCGCCACCGCGCAGCCAGCAGAATGAGCCATCCAGCCCGGGCAGAACGGGGACCCGGGCTCCGCCAGCGCTGGGCACGGCCCACCTGAGCCGCGGGCGCGGGGGGAGCCGGGCCCAGCCGCCGCCCCCTGCCCACGCCTTGCGCCCCAGCCGGCCGCGCGCCACCTGGAGACCGCGTCCCACGGAGCCCGCAGGGTCCCCCTTGAGCAGCACTGCGGTTGGGGTTCGGCGACCCCGCGCGCCCGGGTGGCCAGGACCCTGAGTCCCCCCCGCGCAGCAGTGGTCTCTCCCGGCGCTGTGGCTCCTCCAGATAAAGCAGCGATTTCAGCCCAAATGTTTCTCAATTTTTATTGAATGCTGCAAAGCCTGAGAGCGTCTGGCGCGGCTGACAGGGGCAGGGAGAGGGGACCTGGAGCTGGGGTGAGGCAGCCCAAGGCAGGGGCTGGCCCTACCTGTCAGGGCCCGAATGCCACCCCCTCGCCTCAGTTCTGCCACCCGGGTCCCTGCGGCTTCGAAAGGGACCGGACTGCAATGAATGAAGGGGGGGTGGCGGTGTAGCTGGGAACAAAACAGGCGGCTTTCCCAGACGCTGAGGCTGGGCTGGGGCCTCTGGCTGGGGGAGTGGGCCTTGGCGCTCACCCGCGGGCCCAGGGAGCTCACACTGGCAGGGGCTGCCGGCCCTGGCAGACAGACCCCAGGCCTTGGTCCCGCCTTGTTGTTGTGAGCGAGCCCATGAGCCCCTCCCAACAGACCCTTCTATCAGTACATTGTATTTCTCTGTCTCCGTTGCTGTGTTCCCACTGCAGCTTGGGCGTGGAGGGGTGGAGGACGCCCAGAGGGATCCCTGGAGACAGGCCTACCCCACCCCACTGTGGGATGGACCTGTCTGTGCAGCCGGTTTTGTGCACGGCTGTCTCTTGAGGGACAACCCCGTCCATCTCTGTGGGTCTGGCCCTGCTCTGACAGTCTTCATCACTATCATCATTAACAGGGTTTGTCAGGATGGTGGTGGAGGGCTGTAGGGGACCTGCAGGAGGTACCCAGACAGGGACCTTGGCCTTTGGGAGCCCTGTTGCAGACAAACAAGACTTAACCAGGAGCTTTGCACCTCGTGCAATGGGCGTCAGAGCCAGTGCAGGCACCGGCCTCCAAGTCCAAGCTATGCGCCTAGACTTCTCCTGCCCCTTTATCCCACAAACTATCAAAATGTTTCAGGGATCCCTTCTTTCAGGGTATGCCCAACTGTACCCTGTGGTACAGTCCTGATGAGAAAAACAGCACCATCAGAGGTTTGGAAGATTGAGTCACCTTTGGAAACTCCCAGAGCACGTCTTAAATGGGCAGAACATGGAAGGTCACCAGGAGGAGGTGGGCTGGGAAGGAGACAGCAGCTGTGAGCAGGTGGAGAGCAGCGCAGGACTCTTCTTATACCTCCAAACTCCTCGCTGGGGCCCAGGTCTCCTGGCCTGTCCTGCCTTTATTTCCAGTACCTGCATATCAGACTTGCCAGGGGACGCCGGGTTTGAGGCCACAGAGCGTGGCCCACCTTGGGGTAGGACTCCCTCCCCAAGCTATGGCATTTCCCGGTGCCAGCTGCAGCACACCCAGGCACCCGGCTGCTTCCAAATCCCAGAAATATGCATTGAGCATCCATGATGTGCAGGGTACATTCAGCTTTTCTGTTTTGTGTCTATTTCCTGGGACTCTTGGACCACCTAGCTTTCACTAGTGGTCACCTCCTTCTTGGAGGAAACAAAACAAGACAAATACAGTCAAGACTAGCATTTCCTGAGCCCCTGGTACCAGGCAGCAGGCTGAGTTTTACATATGCATCCTTCTCTTAATCTTTTCAATCCTGTGAGGCAGGCACAGACCTTTTCAGATGTTAAAACTGAGGACTAGAGGAGTCATTTGCCCCAAATCACCCAACAGTTTGGAGGTGGGATGCAACCCCTGTCTGCTGGAACCCTGTGCAGATCAATCCCTGTGCACGGGCATGGAAAGCTCAGGGACTCAGTCAGTCAACTTCCCACATCCTGTGCACAGCTTAGGAAACCGAGGCCGTGAGAGGAAAGTGAATCACTGAAAATTAGGTAATTAGATAGACATCTATCCTGGACCTTTACTGGCTAAACATAAAAATGATGACAATAATAAACTAAAACACCCCTTCTCTTCCGCTCCCCACCTCCAAATGTGGTTTTATTCTCCACTTGGGATGGTGTCCTGCCAGGCCCTTCCTCCCTGGTCTCTCGGCAACTGTTCCAGCTGCTCCTTTGTCCTAGCTGGGCACAACACCTGGTTGCCTTCTCCACTCCAAAGATAGGGACCTTCCCCCACCCCCGCTAACACCCACCGAGAGCTTTAGTAGACACTGGCCTCTTCCCTCTCTGATGGACTCATTTGTCTGTGGGGTTTCCTGAGGGATGACCAGTCCCACACTGCACAGCCGCTTGCTGTGGTCTGTCACTGATTATCTCTGATTTGCATATTATTTCTACAACAGACTGAGAGCTGCCTGGGGGTAGTGGCAGAAGCAGGACAGTCCCAGTGCAGGAGGCCCAGAGAGCATCTGACCTGTCCCCCACTACAGAGGAAGAGGCAGCTTGGAGCTTCATTTGTCTAATGACAACAGCTCCCCGCATTTGCAATCACACTTTAACAGTTTACAAAGCAGCCTTCACACCCATCAACTCACTCATGCTAATTCAACCAGCCTATCCTGCAAGTCAGCCAAGCCAGCCCAGCAGCCCGGCCCCAGGAGCACCGGTTTGCAGAAACCAGAACCCTGATGTAGGAAGGTACTTGTCCAAGGACACTTGGCCGACTTTGTTTTGCTTTTGTCTCTGGAGTCAGTGACCTGACTCATCTATGTCTCTTTCAATCAAAGCTGACTGACAGACAAAGGTTGAGCATCTCCTGGTGCTGAGCATGAGGGAGGCAGGGCCACAGCTGTGACCTACAGAGGGACAGGAGAATGACAACAGTGGTAAGTGCTAGGAAGACAGGAAGACAGCGTGGTGGGGCAATGACTGACCAAGAGGTGGGCCCAGTCCACCCAGGCAAGTTTCTCTGAGGAGGGAACATAACAGTGGAAAGCTAGAGGAACATTGGGTGGAAGAGACAGCTCATGCAAAGGCCCTGAGGCTGGGGCCTGCTGTATACCTTCCAGGAGTTTCTGCTTCTTCTTCTTATCTTTCTGCCCAAATGCCCAATGGGGACACCTGGCCAGCTGTGCGTCATGCCACATCCATAGGTAGTGGCAGGCTGGGGGGGGGGTCTTAAAAAAAAGCTCTTGTTCTTCCATCAATTGGTGACCTCGGACAGGACTCTTCTCCTCTCTAGGAATAATCTGGAAGAGTTGACCACTTACCCTCAGCTCATATGCAATTTTTAACTTTCTAATAGCCACGCTACAGAAAGTAAAATTTAGGCTTGGTGTGTAGCTCAGTGGTACAGCTCATACCAAGAATGTTCAAGGTGCTGTATTTGATCCCCAGTCTCCTCTAGCTCTACAAAAGTAAAAGGACACATACGAAGTTAATTTTAACACATTTATTTAATCCAAAATGTCATTTCAACGTGTAGTGAACGTTTTATATTCTCTATACTGTCTTTGTGATCTACTGAGTATTTCTGATTTCAGCATCTCTCAATTTGCTTAAGCCACACGTGACTGACTGTCACAGCTGGGTGAGAAATGATCTAAAAAAGAGGTCACCCAATCCCTCTGAGGACACAGAGGATGCAGTCACCATCTCTGCCTGCAGCACAGGGGAAGGCTTCCTGGAAGCGGTGACATTGAAGGAAAAACATCTCGACAGCCCCTTGTAAGAAATCTTCTAATATCAGGGCTGGGGATTTAGCTCAGCGGCATAAGCACCTGCCTTGCAAGCAGGCAGTCGTGAGTTCGATCCCCAGTACCGGAAAAAAAAAATGTTGGTGAAGAAATCTTCTAATATTTATTCTCTCCCTTTTAAGAAAAAAAATTTGGTACCTTAAAATAAAGGCGATACTAGCTCCTTGCTAAAAAATAAACAGGTAGATGGGTTAAGGAGGAAACCGAAGCTTCCCCTAATCTCCCCGACCTGAGAGCTGTCGTTAATATTTTGTGACCTGTTTCCCCGCGGGCATTTCTCTGGCATGTGTATTTGGTACGTAACCATCACCTGTTGTGAGGACAGCGTTGCATCCACCCACGTCCCAACCTGCACTCCAGAGAGCGCGTTTGGTTGGATTGAAAAAGCCATCATTGCTAATGGCTGTATACTACTCCAGGGACAGGGACAGATGGGTCATAAAGCCAGCAGCTCTGTGCCTCCCAGCTTCACCTGCAGGAAGCTGCAAACCCCGCTCCGCTGTGGCTGCCCTTCTGAGCACAGAGACAGAGTGGAGCGGAGCATCCCAGGAGGGCAGGCTCACCTGATAACCACCCTGTGTCTGACATCAGCCCTGGGTCTTTGTGACTCTGAACTGGAGGCGGCTGGGCTGGGCTGGGGGCTCGAGCAGTCAGTTTCTTGACCGCCACCTGGTGGTGCTGGAAATTAATGCACGCTCCAGAGGCACAGTGAATGGAGCCGGCCTTGTCCTACAGTAAGCGCTCAATGTTTCTGATTGTTTTGTGCTGGGAGACTGCAGTGTGCAAGGCTGGATCTCAAGTGGCTTCCCGTGTTGGTGTATTTATTAGGCTTGAATCCTCACGTCCCGGTACCCTTTGCTCCAGCCAAGGTCTTGTCCTCAGTGCTCTGAGCCCAGGCTTTACCATTTCCCCTCCCAGCTCCCCTCATCCTCACATGCTTCTCATCCTGTCTTCCAAGATTCAGCTCATCCTCCCCTCAAGGAATCCTGATGCACACCCACTCCCTTCTCTCAGCCGCCCCACAATGCAGATGGCACATGCCTTGATTTCCCTCATCTCTTGGCAAAGTGGCCTTGTAGAGCAGACAGAGAGTCTGGGCTTTGGAGTTAGAGGAGGTATGTGTGGAAAGCCAGTGTAACCTTGAGCTGGGCGGGTACCTCACCTCATTAAGCCTTAGTTTCTTTATCTGTAAAATGGGCCCAAATGGTGCAGGCTTGTCACGAGTGCAGAATGAGATGACAAACCCCAAGGGCATGCCACTGGAGAATACCATGCAACCCTAGTTTCCTTGCTTAGCTGGCCACACGCCACATGGACAGGAAGCTGCTCTGGGGACACTGCATCCTGGTCACCTCCTGAGTCCAGCAAAAGACCTGGCACATGGCCACTGAATCATTGCTTGCTACAGTGAATGGCAGCTTCTCTTCTACCAGCAGATACAACCAGTTTGGTGTTGCAAACAGATGGTGAGATGCTGTCCAGTTTCTGTGAGCCATGGGACTCCTGTCCCTCGGGATCTGGGAGGACCTGGATTGTGCAGCGTGTAGCTGAGGGTCTGGGTCGGGGAGGGTGGGTGTCTGGCTCATAGCAGGCAGTCTGTCTCCGTGGCCTGCCTCCACCCATTGTCTGCTTCGATCCTCACAACAAGCTCACGAGCCTGCCAACCCTCCCCACTTTACTGTGGAGAGAAGTTCAGCTGGGAGAGGAGATAACTTAGCTAAGGTCACTCACCAGACTCAAGAACGCTGCTGTGGGTGCCCATCCCTGGGTTAAGGTCTTTTGCAGCTTATAGCTACTATGAGGTGGTTGAGAAGGGAACAAGTTTAATGTGAGAAACCTGAGTTCAAATCCCAACTCAGTCAGTCACTTTCCGCATGACTTTTGTGGTGTATAACTTCTCAAGCCTCAGTCTCGTTGTGACAGAGGGGGTGGGGTAGATGATAAAAGGAACCCGGAGGTGAGAACCACCTCTGTAAACTGTGGCGAGCCACATCCAGGTAAGAGGTTGTTACAGTGGCGGCGGGCTGAGCCTGATATAGGATGCTTTGATCTTCGTGCCCAGGAAGTGAGTTTTACGGCTGTTCACCTGGCAGCCCTTTTTCCCAATCTGCCTCTCTTTGGAAACGTGCAAGAGCTATTTGAATGGGTGCCTGGCAACAGAGGTGCAACAGGGTGGGGCGCTAGGCTGTTGAGCTGGGGGTGCAGGCCAGGAGGCTGGGAAAGCTGCCCCACATCCAGCCACAGCTGGAAAGCCCCACACTGTGATCGATACTGGGGTTGGAGCACAGCACAGGTCCCCTTCACCCCTTCTTCAAGGGCTGTGGCACAAAAGAAATCATAGAACTTGGCACAGCCGAGCCTTCTGGCGTCAGAACGAAGCAGGAAGGGCAAAGATTATAACCGGCTCACGTGTAAACAGGACCAAGCACAGAGGAGACGTCCAGGAAGCATTTGCCAAATGGGTAAGGGTCGAGTGGGCAGATGGGGGGATGGGTGGGGAGGAGGAGATACGTGGAGGCTTCCAGGAGGTGGTGACATCTCCTGGATCCTCTGGATTGCAAACAAATCAACTCAGGACACATCCGACTATCAAAACCCAGGAATCTCTCTTCTGGGACCAGGACTCGGGAATCCAGAACAAAACTCAGGAGACCTGAGCAGGACTGGTGATTATTCAGAAGGCATAAAGGCATAAAGATGATAACAATAGCTTCCAGGCCTGCACTGAGCTGTCTACAAAAGCAACCCCACGATTCCTCCCCAGATTCTCCTAAATTGATGCTTGAGGCCTCTGGTCCTTCTGTCTCTTTGGGCTATGCCTGGCACTTGACTGACCTCTCCAGAGGAGCGGAGATCAGCCGGGCTGTCAGCCCAAGGGTGGGCCAAGCTTTTGTGCCGTGCAGGGTCCCTGGCCAGTCCAACTCCTGCTGACCCTGGGTTTCTTGGGAGGGGAGAAGTCAGCCCACGGTCTCATGGCAGCTAAGAGAGGGTCAGGACGACACTCAAATCGTCTGGAAGCCAGATAATAAGCAGAGACAAAGGGAGGAGAAAGACTTTGGAAGCATCAGGTTCAAACATCCCAGCCTGTACAGATGTCCCTTCTGCTCCCTGGGAAGTAGGCAGAGCCTAAGGTGACAGAACCTTGGACTTGTCAGCATCCGAAGAGCCTGACATGCATTTCTATACTCCTCTCATTTTGTGAAGAAGCTGAGTCTCAGAGAAGGACAGGACTTACCCAAGCCCACAAGGCCAGTGAGGGGCCACAGCGGGGAGAGGTTCTACAGGCTACAATGGGGAACTGGAAGGTGAGCTGGGGACAAGGAGCCCAAGAAGAGCCCAAGGAGACAAGGTGGGTGGTTCTCATTTTCAAGGCCTGTAACTCTCCGAGATGGAATTGGAAAGTAGCCAGCTTGTCAGTTCGACCTATTAACTAATAGTCTATTATTTTCCTCTAGGATTAATTTCTAAATGCAAATAGCATGTTTTAATTACACATTGGAACACTTAGCACCCACCGGTCCCCGGTCTCTGAGCAAGGGCAGGCCTTCCTTGGTGTCTTGAGGGGCCCAAACAACCCCTGAGAACAAAGAACTGGGGAACATGGGAAGAGGTCCCAAGCTTTGGTCTGAATTCCAATTCTGCACTATCGGTGTGATTTTTCTGGGAGGAGCAAACAATGGAAGGGACATGAGGAAACAGTGGAGCCAGTTCCCTTTGCCCTGGACATTTTCTTCTACTTAATTAATATCACAAAGGGAAGCTAGGTCTGCATAGCATTGTGAGGATTATGAAAATGAGGCTGTGGATAGAGATTCCTGAGCTCCTGGTTGCTTCGACTGCCATGAAGTCCTGTCCAAAAAACACCCACCAAAGCCACGGCTCCGACTGGGGGAGGCACCTGGGGGACGCTCGCCTGACAGCCTAGTTCAGACTCTAGGGAGAATCTGGGTTCGGCAGAGAGGAGTTTAGAATAATCACCCCAGAGGGAACCCAGCATGGGGTGCAGAGCTTCGAGCTTCTGTCAGAAGACAGCCAAGCGGAAGAGGAAGGTGATGGTTTGGGAATTGGAACTAGGCTCAAATCCCTGCTCTGCCACTGGCTGGCTGTGTGACTCTGGGTGGACTGATCCTCCCTCTAAGCCTCAGTCTCCTCACCCGGGAGATGGAGAAGGCAGTGGTCACCCCTCCTAAGGTGAAGCAAGGCCTGAGTGAGACAAAGACCCGTAAAGGCCAGGCCACGCTCGCTGAAGCCAATGCTGCCTCTCTTCCTCCAGCCTTGGGAATGGATGGCGCAGTATTCACGTGATACTGTGACCGTGGTATTAGGGTGAACTGTCTCTTGGAATGCACAGGAGCGTGGTTCCAGGACCCCAAAGGCACCAAAATCTGCAGATGCTTAAGTCTCTTGTATGAAAAGCCATAGTACTGGCTTATAACGTATGCACATCCTTCCCTCCGCTCCCAGTCATCTCTAGAGCACTTTGCATACCTAACACAGTGTAAATACTGTGCCAGGAGTGTTCTACTATACTGTTTAGGGGACAAGGACAAGAAAAAAAATCTGTCCATATTCAGACAGAGGAAATTTTTAGACTGTTTTTGACCCCAGTTTGGTTGGATCCACAGAGGCAGAACCCGTGGATCGGGGGGACCAGTGTCCCCCCGAATGCTTTAAGGGTCTCCACAGCAGGTGCCACGGATCATCCTGCATTCGATGCAGTTTATGGTACCCACAGGCCCATTTTGGGGATGAATGTATATGATGGGAGGGAAGCGGCTTCTCTGCTCCTCTTCTGTGCTTATCCTGGTTGGTCTCAGGTGACCCTTGGTCACCAGCAGCAAAACGCTACTGAAGGCCCCTGACAGGTATCAGTTTGACCCACCCATTTTACAGGTGGGAAACTGAGGCCCAGAGAAAAAAATAGCCCACCTGAGTGAACAGATAGAATTATTAACAAACTTTCCGTCTCTCAGCTCTAGGCCCAGCACTGTCTCTCCTTCCCTCCTCATACTCAACAGGGGAATTGTTTTTTGAACTGATAAACTACCTTATGGGCTGAAAATGTGTTCTAGGCCTCAGTCACGAGCTCTAGCTAGGGCCTGGGGTGGGGGGAGGGCAGGCACCATCACTAAGCGACTTCACACCTGTCTGACCACAGAAAGAAGCCAGCCAGAGGGGGCACGCTGGGTCAGGTGCAAGGCCAGGGACCGACCCTGGTTCTTGCCCTGTAAAAATTCGCAGTTGGGGGGTCCTGTAAGAGTGACTGCCACCCCAAGTAACATTTGTTCAGGGTCCCCAGAAGGATTCATTTCACTATGGGCTCTAGGCTCATTCTCTTTATTAATCTTGGTAACCATCGCTAGCAGGTATAATAATCAATAGTGATGATGATGATGATACAGTACCACATAGAGAGTATAATACTATCACAACTCGATTAACACGCCTATAGAGTATCACAGTCATTTCATAGGTGAGACCATGGAGGCTCAGAGAGACAGAGTAACTCACCCCAGGTCACACAGCCTACAGCAGATGACAGAGGCAGACCTCACACGCCATCCTGCAGCTCCTGGCCTGCCTCTCTGACTGGACTGTCCAGTATGTGACCACAGGCTGCAAGTAGCTCTGAGTGCTGGAAATGCACTGGTCTGAAATGAGATGTTCCCTGCGTGTGAAATAGGACAGAAAAGAAAAATGAGAATGTAAACTATCCTGTGAGACTTAAAAAGAAAAAAAACTGGGGCAAGGTTCAAATAATATTAGGGTTATAATGGGTTAATAAAATGCATTGCTAAAATTAATTTTACCTGTTTTTTCTTCCTTAACATACAAATCTTAAAATTTCACAGGAGGCTACTAGCAAATTTAAAATTCCACAAGAGGTAGCCTGCCTCTCCCACGTCCACCCATCCTTTTCCTCTTCCTTGCTTTCTGTGGTGCTGGGCATCGAACCCGTGGCCCTGAGAATGAGCATGCTCCGTGAGCGCTCACCACTGAGCCACCCCCAGCCTCGCCGCCTCCTATTTCTGTTGGATGGTGTGGGGTGAGGTCAGCTGTCCAGCAGAACTTTTTGCCACGGTGACCAGTAGGATGGCCTCTAAGTCATATGTGGTCATGGAGCATCTGAACTAGATTGGGTACCGGGGATCAAACTCACGACCTCGCGCTTGCCAGGGCAGGCACTTACGCCACTAAGCTAAACCCTCAGCCCCTAGCAAGGACATTTGATATTTTATTTCATTTTAATTAATTGAAACTGAAATGGAAGTAGCCACACATGGCCAGCGGCCGCTCTACTGAGCAGTGTAGCTCCTGCTGGTTAGGATCTCCTGCCTTGAGAAGACAAATAGGCACTGCAGTGTGACACATGTCCCCACAGAGGCATTTCTACGGGGTGTGGGTGCACGAGGAGGGGCACGGCTGTCCCTAGAAATGGGGACTCAGAGGCTGAGGGTTGCCCGCGGGCACACAGCTTGGAGGAGGTGCAGGTGGGTTTGACTCCACGCCCCTGGCTCTGGCTCGCATTCCTCTTTGATGGGCTCAATCTCCAGCGCCCCTCCTGTCTACACCCGGCCTGTGCCACCTCACCCGTGAGCTCACGCAGCCTACCTGTCACTCTGCTGGGAGCCGCAGCTGTGGTGACTCACCCGGCTGTCCTCAGGCTCTGTCACTTCTTCCTGGCCCTCCTGCCCCAGCATTTCACGCCTGAATGGTGGCCTCTCCTAGCAGTCCCCGCCCTGTCTCGTCCCACCCCACAACATCCTCAAGAGACTGCTCTGCCCGGGGCTGCAAGATTTCTGCAGCATCTCAGAATCTGTCCCCGGGCACTTCAGATCCCACACCTGGGATTTTCCTGTGGAAGCGCCACAGAAGCAGCCTGGGGCACTGCAGTCCTGGACTGGCAATGGGCTGGCTTCCTGTTCCAACTTTGCCACCAGCCAATGAGTGATTCTGGGCAAGTGTCACTTTGGTCTGAACCAAGTGTTCCTCTACTTATGATGGGATTGCGTCTTAATGCACCTATCATAAAAAATTATGGCGATTCAAACCCAGCATGTAGGCAGCTGCCTATGATCCCAGCACTCTGGGAGGCTGAGGCAAGATGTTCTAGCCCAGCCAGGTTAACTTAGTGACTTCTTGAGATCCTGCCTCAAAAAAAAAAAAAGTTGGCTGGGGCTGTAGCTTGGTGTAAGTCCCTGGGTTCAATTCCCAAAGAAGAAAGGAGAGAGAGAGAGAGGGAGAAGGTAGAGAGAGGGAGAAGGCATACGGAGAATGAAGTCCAAAATACACGGACTTACCTGCCCTACTGAACGCTCCAGCTTAACCACACGGCACACTGCACCCCCTCGATCATGTGCCCACCTGGGAGCCAGGAAAAGCCCCGAATGGAAATCCGAGTACACTTTCTACCACATGTGTATCGCTTTTGTATCATCACAAAGTGGAAAAATCATAAATCAGATCATCATAAGTCAGGGACTCCCTGTAATGATACCACAGGGTTCCTACAACCGTTAAACGTAACAAGGGGGTGCTGAGTACTGTCAACCCTGGAAATAATTCTGCACCTCCCATAAACCACACTATGTTCATGCAGCCGTGGCTTTATGCTAAGTTTCTGAATTCTTAGATCTGCCTCTTTCAAGCAGTGGAGCCTAATTCCCTTCCCAGGAAGGGGGTCTGGACTCGGTGACTTGCCTCTGATAGAACAAAGCAGACCCGGGGGGACTGGAGTCTAAGTTATCAGCAGGCACCATGGCCTCCTCCTCTCGCTGTCCAGAGCTCCTCTTGGAGGAGGTTGGTGTCATGTCTGCTGCACCCTAATGCACCTGTTGGAAGGCCCAGGTGGTGGGGAGCAAAGGTCTCCTCTAAGCAGCCAGCAAAGAACAGAGGCTCCTACAAGCAGCCCTGTGAGTGAACCCCCAGACTGTGGACCCCCTAGCTCCAGACAAGCCTTCCATCAACTACAGCCCCAAGTGACATTCTATCTATAACCTTGGGAGAGATCCCCAAAACCGAGCCACCCAGAGGAGCCACTCCAGAGTCCTGGACCTACAGAAACCATGAAATAATAAATTTCTGTTATGTTAAACCACTAAATTTTAGGGTTAATTTGTTACACAGTAACAAGTAATGAAAACACACACGTTTTCATTGTCCGAACATGATATAGGTATTGTTATTAGCCCCATTTTACAGATGAGAAAACCAAGGCTCAAAGAGGAAAGACACTTGCCTGTGGCCACTCAATACAGATGTGGTGGAGTGCAGCTCTCAGGCTTGGCCCATCAGAAGCACAAGCGGGTGCTAATGGCTGAACATGGACCTGCCTGGGCTGTATCATGAGCCGATTCACTCCCAACTACAGGAGAGGTAAGCCACACACTTTGACCTCATTCCCTGGTAACAAGTAGGTGCTCACAAAATGCACGTGTGAATGAGAGACGGGCATTTAGATTATGAGGGGCTCTGGACAGATTCCTCTGTCAAATCTACTCACGTATTTGTGGGATCCAGGGCAAGAAACAAATGGAGTTCTATATAGCCCACACTTGAATATTTAACAGTTATAACTCAAACTAATAAATAGTTAAATAAAATATGGCAACTATACCTTCACTGTAACAAAATGTAAAATATGCATGAAGCCATGGTTTTTATCTGGCTGAAAGTCAGCAAAGTATCAAAGATGACGGACTGTAACTGTTATCGTACATGTCTGGGTACGTTGTTGATGGGCTGATGATATTTTAATGAGTAATAAAATAAAAACATACATGATTCATAATTTTGAAAAAATTTTGTGTGTGTTTTACGAGCTGGAGGTTGAACCCACAGACTTGTACATACTAGTCAAATATTCACCACTGAGCTACCTCCCCCAGCCCCCATAATTTACACCGTGTTTATTCTATTAATGTTTTTCTTGCCCTTATTTCAACAAAATCAGAATTGTGTTGTGATCATCACAACACAAGATTTTCACACAGTTCCGTTTCTGTTGCCAGCAATGTGAAATTCGACAACCTTTCTCAGTCGTACTTCTCAGATAGTTTTTAATTAATTTCAACTCGGAAATACTTGCCCTGTGGAGGATGTGGCAACAAATTGTCAATAAAATTCTTAAAGCAATATTTAGAGTAGGCAATGAGCCATGCATTTTACGTAGCAAGCTTAAGCGTTGTAATGGGGTTACACATGATAAATTACAAGTATTGCGGAAAATATCACCAATGATTTAAGTTGTTCATATCAAATTCTGGACCCAACAGTCTTGCACACGATCCATGTCCTGCGTGTTACATCTGGAGCCACACGCGTACAAATTGAAGAGTAACGCGGATTATTTGATATTACAAGATGTCCCTGTGTTTTCCTGTGCAGGTCACGCAGACCCTTCCTAATTTTTTTCAGAACCTTAGAAACCAGGCACTGGATCAGGGGGAGCAGGCAGGAAGTGGAGGCTCAGGACCACTGGGATCTGACAGCATCTGTGCTGAGAGGAAGCAGTTAATTATTCCGTTCTCTTACCTAAGAGCGGAGGGGTTTTGTTCTTCCTTTTTGTTCTGCTCAGAACCCTCCTGTGCCCCAGAGCTGTGTCCATCTGCAGCGTCAGCAGCCACAGCCCACAAGTGTGTGCCATTTGGAGGCAGCCAGCCTTTGCGTTGAGGATACGGAGCAAGGGATGAGAGGCGCATGCCTTCTTCCTCCCGGGCCTGAGCAGGGTTGGTGGTGAGGGAGAGGATGCTGAGGGTGACAGGATTGTGTGGTGCCACGGAACAGACACCCAAGTGTTCCTTAATAAACTGCTCGTGTCTGGATACGTGTGTCTGTGCACACTGCGTGTGGCCTCCGGCTGGTGCACAAGTCGCCCAGACCCCAAGACTGAGTGTTTGGAAGCTTGAAGAGCCATAGAGCATCACCGCTGTGCTACCTCCGAGCTCCGGTTCATTCTGCTAGCAGTTCATTTTCTCAATAATTATTTTATGAAATGTTCTAAGACAGATGTAGTACGCTTCTCCCATTTCCTGTAGTTCGGGTATCATTGCTTTATGAAATGTTGACTGTCGTTTCTAAATAACATGTTGTATATTGGCATCTGGATCGCTGCAAGTTATAAAACTTTTTTCATTATGGCAAAAAATATATGTATCATAAATGGTACCATCTTAGCCATCTGTAAGTGTACTGTTCAATAGGATTAATTGTATTTTTAGCTTTGTGGGACAGGCCTCCTGTACTTTGGCATCTTACAGAACTGACAATCTGTATCCTTTGAAAATCTATAACTTCTTCTGGCTCCTCTTTGCCTGGTTTTATTCTCTATGGCTATGGCTTTGGTCATTTTATACACATTACATGCTGTAATTTGGATAGATGTCCCCAACAACCCGCATATTGAGGTCTGGGTCCCCAGTGTGTGGTGTTATTGGGAAATGGTGGAACCTTTCAGAGGTAAGGCCTAGTGACACTGGGGGTGCTCTCTTTGAGCAGATATTGGGACCCCAGACCCTTTCTTTCTCTTTGTGACTTTCTGGTCATCATGAGGTGAGCTGTCTCTTCTGTCATGTCCTCTGGCTTTTCCATAGGCCCAAAAGCAATAGGGTCCATCAACCATGAACTGGAACCTCTAAAACCATGAGCCAAAATAAACCAACCCTCCTTATAGGTGTGTGTTTTTGTTTGTCTGAGACAGGGTCTCGTTATGCAGTTCAGGCTGGCCTTAAACTCTGTAGCCCAGGCTGGTCTTGAACTCACAGCAATCCTCCTGCCTCAACCCCTTGAGTGCTGGAATTGTAGTCATGCACCACCATGCCCAGCTTCCTCCTTATAAATTTTTGATCTCATGTATTTTGCCACAGTGACAGAAAACCGAGCAGCACATTATGAAAGTATTTTAATTGTCTTTTATGAAGGTATCAATCTGTGACAGATTGGAAATTTATAAAATAAATAGTTCTTTATAGATAGCTTGAGAAACTCTGCTCCCAAAGTATAGGGCCTAGTACAAGGCCCTGTCACTCAGGTAGGTCAAAAGGCTTTTTAAATTGATTTCTTTGTCTTTTTTAGGTACCGGGGATTGAACTCATGACCTCACACTTGCCAGATCAGCGCCTGTACCACTGAGCTAAACCCCCAGGCCTTTGATTGACTTCTTAGACCTTATTTTCTCACACTGCAAAAAGAGTGATTGGATAGTGATTCTCTGAAGCTTCTTGGACACCAGGGTCATTGGAATTCCCCAAGCCAGGACAGGCCGGCTGGCTGAGCAGCCACCTTCCGGCCCCGTGGTCCCGCTCCAAGTCCCATTTCATGCACTGAGGACTGCTTTGTCTCTGCTGACACCTGGTTTCCTGCCTCTGCAGTCACAGAGAGGCCTCCCCATGGATGACACATCCCGGCTACCACCACGGCCCATGTCTCCACCAAAGCTCAAGGCATTGCCCCCCAAACCTACGTTCTTCTGTGGCTGTCACCCTTCTTTTCCATGGCTCAGAAGCTAAACGGGATGAAATGATGCTAATGATAATATAACCAAGGAGAGGTCCATATTCTAGACTTTGATCAGGAAGGGATTTGATCCTGTTTTCTCTCTTATTTCAAGAATAAGACACATTTAGTGCTCCAAAAGGTTGTTTAAAAGGATCACCCATAATCCTAACATCCAGTGATAAGCATCTTAACATTTTAGTGACTATCTTGTCTGTTTTCTTTCATAAGTTGTTTTTTTTTTAAACAACATTAACAGGAATGTGCTGCCTGGACTGTTTATAGCCTGCTTTTTCCACTCAACAATATATCACCAGCGCCCCACATCTATAAATGCACTCTCACCACCAGTTTGAGTCCTGCAGAGTATGCTGTTGTATATATGTTTGGCAATTAGGAGACCAGTGTCCTTCCATTCCCCCTCCAAACGCAATATTCCCGGAGTCAATGTTTGCATTATTTCCCTAGACTACGATCTTAGAGGCAGAGCTCTTCAGCCAAAAGATATGCAAGCATATTAAAAGATTTAGCTCCAGGACCTCAGGACTTGACAGTACTGATTAGCACTGCCATCAAAAGTATCAAGAGAGGGCGCGGGATATAGCTCAGTGGCACAGCACCTGCTGGGAAAGGCAAGGTCCTGAGTTCAATTCCTGCTACCAAAAACAAACCAAAGTATCAAGAGAGGCATGGGGATGTGGCTCAGGGATAGAACACTAACTCAGCACGCGAAAGGCCCTGTGTTCCCTCCCCAGTGCTAAAAAAGCAAAAAAAAAAAAAAAAAGAAGTATCCAAAGTATCCATCTCAGCTTGTGCATGCCAACACTGATTATTACCACTTTTTATTTCATTGTTGTTTTAATCTGTATCTCTTTGGAGGCTTTTGGACATGTCTTCTTTAAGCTCATTGGTCAATTAGACAGAGATGGATCTTGGAAAGGTACAACCAGCTCTTCAGCTTAACAGCTGTGGAATCAGGCACAGAGATGACCAGCTGCTCCTCCAAGCGAAGAAAGCCAAGTGAGATGACACCCAGGTAGGGCATTGGTTGGGATTCTGGGGACCCTCAGGCTGCGTCGGCTGGAGCACTTGCACGGAGCAGACCATGCTCAGCTGTGATGTGGCAGAGTAGTGGGAGCACCCGAGGGACCTCCAGCCCAGATAGGAGAGGGCATCAGGACAGGCTTCCTGCAGGAAGTGTTCGCTGCCCCGCACCTGGAGGAGTTGACAGGCAGATGAAGGGTGTTTGGAGCACAGGGACAGTGTGGGCAGAGATGAGGAGACGGAGGGAAAGGTACCTCCTGGAAACCAGGGAGGCCTGGGGACACAGATTCCACCCAATGGCAGGGAGGATTGTGTGAAGGACGCAGGCAGGTGGCATTTTATCAACGAGTGCACGGCCTCTGTCCTCACAGCTTATACATCCCACCGTTAATTCTAGAACAACAGCTCTCAAACTTTGGTGCCAGGATCTCTTTACCATCTTCAGATCATCAGCCTCTCCTTTTCCTCTTCCTCCTCCTCCTCCTCCTCTTCCTCCTTGTCTTTCTCCTTCTCCTTCTCCTTCTTCTTCTTCCTCTCTTCGTCCTGACCCCAGGGCTGAAACTCAAGGTTCCCAGCACACTAAGCCAACACTCTACCACTGAGCTACACCCCCAGCACCAGCCCCAGCCATCAAATTATTTGGAAGAAGGACTCTGAAGCAGTTTTGCTTAGGTATATGGATTATCGATATAATATAGAATACCTTGTTTACTTGCATTAGAGATTAAGACCAAAAAATTCAATTCAAAACAATAATAAATCCACTGCTTGTTAAAATAAATCTTGTATTTTTATGAAAAAGTAATTATTCTCCAAAATAGAAATTCTGAGTGGGCAGGGCAGCATTATTTCACATCTTTGCAGATTGTTTTATGTATGGCTTATCATGAAAAAAAAAAAACTGGCTTTGCAAACTCTCTCGAGGGCTCTTAGGGCTCCATGGTCATTCTCTAAGGAGGGTGAACTGGGTGAGGGCCTCCCAGAGGGAGGAGGCTGGCAGGGGTGCAGCGTCATCTGGGGCTGGGAGGGCCCCGGCTCTGGGCTCTGGCGCTGGGCAGAGATGATAGATGGTGTTTGGAGCTCAGTGTCTGTGGATTCCTACACACAGTACCCAGGGATGGCCCTGGGCCAAGCAGGGGATGTGTTTGTGTGGGAGGGAAAGTGTCACTGAGGACGAGCTGTCAGGCCTTGGAGGAAAGTCCTCCAGGGGGATGGGCTGGAGGGAGGGCGGGTTTGTCTCCTGGCCTGCCGAGCAGATGCTGCCTGCATGGCCCCAACCAGCTCCGAAGGGGGCCTCCCAGGACGGCCTGGCAGGGGATCCACCTCAGGGGGCCTGGGGATAGGGAAGGAGAGTGGGGGGTGTGCTGGTACCCAGAGCACCCAGGCAGAAGTAGGGGATTCCAGAAAGAAGAGTGCCCTGGGCCTTCCATGAGAAAGGGACTACAGACAGGTTTCTCTGCCTGCTCGGAGGCCCCAGATACCTTAGGTGAACCAACAGGTCTCGCAGCAAATCCTGAGACAGAAGAAATACTGTGACCCCCAGGGTAAGATGAGGAGCTGAGGAGCAAAGAGGCTGAGTGACCCCCTCAGGGTCGCTCTGCTGGGACATGGGCTTTGAGCCTGGATAACTGGGCTCCTATGGGACGCCACGCCCTGCTCCAGTGCTGTGCAGGTCTGCAGTGGCAGCCTCAGGAGGGACTCTAGTGGTCCTCTCCCGTGGGGGCATTAGAAAGGCGTCCTGTGGTGCAGGAATTAGCCAGGCAAAGGGATCCAGAGCAGCCAGAGAGGAAAGGGTGGCATGTGGCAGGCCAGGAGCAGGGCAGGGAGAGCAGCAGATGGGGCTGGACAGAGAGAGGGAGAGTGAGCAGGCCGCAGGGTGGGCAGAATGCTCCTGGGTGGACAGAATGCAGCCCCAAAAGGTGTGAAAAGAGATGGGTGCACATTTCCTCCCCCGGCAGCTCCTCACACGCATTGAGTCCAAACTAAGATCGTCCCCAAACCCCGGCCTGCCCACGTAGGCTGCCGTGTCCTATCCCTCAGGGCCGCCCCACCAATCTTGCAAAACCCGGTGTGGCCTTGGCGCCCTTCCCGCCCTACCCGCTCTGCCCAACCGTCGTCGGCTCCTGCCACTCCCTAGGCCTGCTCTCTGCCCTCAGCCTCCTGTCTGGGCCCCACCGTGGGCTCCCATGGGCCTCTGTGCAGGCTCGGCATCTCCTGTTCTGTGCTGGAAGGAGGCCCATCTCTGTGGCCTGCAGCCCCTGCCCTCAGCCCTCGGGGGCGCCCAAAGCCTGCGGGGTGAAATCCAAGCTTCTTAGCTCACCTGACCCGCCTGCCTTTTTGCCATGCCCTCCCTTCATGATCCATGATGTACGTGAAGATTTCTTTTACTTCATGGAAGCATCACCATCATGCCACACATGATTTTAATTCTGTCACCCAGCTCTCAAGATAGATAAGAAGCTGCGGGGAAGGAAAGCCTGCCTCTGTCCCCAGCACATGGCAAAGAGCCCATGCTTAGTAGGCGGACTCTCAGGAATGTTCAGCCAATGAATGAATGAATGAGTCCTGGAGCCAGCTCAGGAGCTCAAAAGAAACATTGTAACACAGAGTGCTCCACCCCTATCACAGACAAACAGTATGGCAAGGAAGCCACCCCAGCAAAAGAGCAACAGACCCTCAGAATTTCTTTACAACAGCAGTGACCTTCCTTTAAGTTTTCCAGACAAGGAAACTAGTCTAAGTCAGGACGCCAACTTGGCTTGAGTAAATGAGAGGAGCTGATGTGTGTATATCACTGAAGAAATCAGGAGTAAGCTTCAGGCATGGCTGGATCCAGGTCCTCCAGCAGCATCCTCAGTTATCCAGCCCCTGCTCTGTTTTTCCCGCAAGGGCTTTGTTCCCAAGCATTCTCTCTCCAAGTATATTGGCAAAATTTCCTGCATAGAAAGCCCAAGAAAAAGTGGGCTCTATTTCCTCAATATTCTCCCATAAAGTCCCAAACAGACTCATGGACATGAGCCACTTGTCCCCTTTGGTGACATGGTGGCCAGAGGAGAATGAGTGTTGAGTGACCAGGCCTATGGGGAGTAATCTCTCTTGGGCTGGGAGATAGGATGAGTAGAGGCACCCTGAGCTTTTCCGAGATTGCACAGACAGTGTGTAGGGGTGAGAGGTCCCCAAAGGGAACCAGGGGACTGCTGCCAGGACAAGGCCTGGACCCCTCATACAGCTGTGGCCTTCCTGGCTCAGACCAGTGAGTGTCTGGTCCTTGCCTGTGTTATGTGAAGCCCCGGTACCAGTCACACTGGGCTCCCCAGCCCTGGCTGCATGACCTTGGGTGAGTTATTGCTCCTCTTGAACCTCAGTTTCCTCCTCCATAAAATGGGCTGGGTCTTTCCAAGAAGAGGCAAGAACATGGAGAAGAGGCCGTGTGGAGACAGAGCAGGGATGGGAGCTCTTCTGACAAGGGCCAAGGTACGCCAAGGGCTGACAGGGGCAGGACATTGCTTCCTGGGGCAGCTGGGGGAAACTTGGTCAACACCACCCCTCTGTCTCAGGTCTCCAAAGCTTTGAGGCAGCAGATGCAGGTGTTTGGAGCTCGCTGGCCTGTGGAGTTTCGTCCACAGTTCTGTGAGTCTAACACTGTGCGGAGCCCAAAGTGAGAAATGATCTCATTTATTTGCGTACTTTTTTCCCCCCGAAGGCCTCCTGGAGGGATTAACAGCAGGAGGCCAGGTGTTCACCTGTCACTGTCACCATTGTGCCCCTAGTGCCAGGGACAGTGCCTGCTGCACGCAGACATCCACGAAGTGTGTGGTTGCATCAGAGCTTGGGTGTGCATGAATTCCTGGCCCAATACGAGTCCGCAACGTGGCATTCTGGGAGAGCCTGACTCAGTCCAGCTGCCCTGGACCCTCGCGCGGCCTGGCTCGAGCTCCTCCGCCTCACTTCCCATGTGGGCCGCCTTCCACAGATTTCTGTGCTGACAGATCCTGCCCCACCCCCTTCTCACCTCTGACACTCTCTCACTCCAGCCCTACATGGATAGTGTGGCCCATGGGTGACCAGACTGGAGGTGCGGGGATGCCAGAACCAGCTTGGTCCTGCCTGGCCCCGTGGCATCAGTGAGGCAGATTTCTTACCTCTCAGCGTCCACGGTCCCCAACCTCTCAGAGTCATGCTCAGTGCTCAATAAATGAAGTTTGGAGCCAGTGCTCCTGCTGCCCCATCCTCCCCTTGAGGCTGGCAGTGTGCGACCTCCTTTGGGGAGCCTTCCCTGACACTGCACCCCTTCTGACTGGCTCCACTGCTGCCCGCAGTCTGTCTGGGACCCAGCATCTCTTCCTGTACATGCATGGCTGTCTTCCCGGCTGTCCCCGCCCCTGGCCACATCTTAATGAGGTTTTCCCCTTGTGAACAGGCAAGCGGCCCTTTGATCTCCCGTCTGAAGTCGCTGTCTTTGATAGCACACGCTGAACAACTGCAGGGATCCGGGTTACATTCAAGCTATCTCTGGAGGTTGGACCTCTGGCAGGTGCCCACTTTGCTCTGCCTCAGTTTCCTCATAAGCAGAAAGGGCCTGGCTAGAGCAGACGCTCTGTTGCACATACATTAGCCAATCCATGGATTGGTAAAATGTCATCTGAGCCCCAGGTGTTTAATTTGAAATTTCCCTTCTTAAATTCCAGCAACTATCTCCAGGTCACTAATGTGGGAACTTAAGGCCGAGATGGGGTGACTTGTCCTTCCCCACCACCGGGGCAGGAGGTCTGGAGGGTGTTGATTATTGCTGTGACCCTAAGCTGAGGTTACTGGGAATGCGGTGACATCATGGGTAAATCAGCATCAGGACCCCAGGCCTGCTCTGCCGTGGGAGGGAATGGCTTGAGATCTTCGAACAGGTCGGGCACTGGGATCTGGGAGGAACCCTTGTCGAGGTGGATAAAGCCCTCACGCTCCTCAAGAGCCCAGATCTGGGGATGGGGACATCCGTGGAGGACATTTTTGTCCTCTGCATGTGGAGGAAAAGAGCTCTCCAGAGGAACGGGGGCTGCCCAGCATTGATGGAACGGGGTCCAAACTGTGACCGAGCGCTGAAGGCCCCCTTGTTGCCTTCAGGGCAGGCAGTGTCGGTGGGGAAGCTCCCAGCAGGGTCTCTGGACCAAGGTGACGAGCTCAGGCTCGAGTCACACAGCCAGAAACGGAGAAATGGGGAAATGGAGGAGAGACCCGGAGTAAGGGGTTAATAGAGATGTTGAGAGAGAAAAGAAATGGAGAAGGGAAGAACAGAAGGACGAAAGGAGGAAGGGTTGGAGAGGGAGGAGAAGACAAAAACAGACTCCAGAATTTCTTCCCACTTTCTGAGTATGACCCATTTCCAAATCCAGTAGAATAGAAGGGACAGGGTATAAAAACACTTGTCACCTTGCCTACCTGGCCTGCTCTTTTCCCCATGTGGCTCCAGAACAAGGCACGAAGTGCGTCCCAGGAGCTGAGAGGCCTTCAGTGAGCTACAACCCCTTTCCTGACTCAGTTTTCAAATCTGTAAAATGGTCAGCGTTAGGGCCCCATGGGTATCTGAGCATGCGTGTCCATAGGTGCACATGTGCCTGTGCGTGTGCACATAGGAGACTGCATTCAGGCTCTGATAACTGGATTCCACTGCTCTGGGCTGAGGGCCTCCCCTGGGTTGGAAGTGGGGGCAGCTAATCCACCGTCCCCTCCCTGGAAGGGGCACAGCCAGGGCCCCAGCTGCTGCCTCCTCCTCCTCCTCCTCCTCTTTTTCCCTGCACTCCCCCCGCATCGTTGGGCTCCTTCCTCCCTCTGCCAGAAAAATCCCAACCATGGAAAAAATGAGTGTTTGGAGCCAGCCATTCAGGGAAGAAACGCTTTGTTTCTGTCTCTTCCTGATCTGGGATCCATCCTGCTCTGCGGGCTGCCATTATTGGGCACCTTCTGTGTGCCAGGCCTGGAGCCGAAGTCTCTAACAGACCATCTCAGCAAACCCTGTGCACTGCGCTGTTCTGATTCCCACTTGGCAGAGGCGGAAAGCAACGCTTCTTAGAGTAAAGCAACCAGACCGATGACATGCAGCCGGGCTGTGGACTGAGTTACAGGGCTGGCGCTGGAAGCCAGGAGAAGAATAGAGGGCTGAGACTCTATCAGGTCTGTGGCTTGGGGCCATCATCTTCTGCCTAGGGGCCTCAGTTTCCCAAGGAAGAAACAGAAACAGTTGTAGAGCTCCTGGCGAGGGCGGCTCAGGAAATGGCAGCTACATAGAAGGATGAATTTAGATTTAGCCCTGAGCTGCACCGCCAGCTCCATACATAGCAGCTGGGTGACCTCAGGCAAGTGACTTGGCTTTGCTGAGCCCATTTGTCAAAGGGAGTGCTGCTAGGAAGAGATAGGGGTGCATAAAAAGGGCCCCACCGAGCTAGCCTGGCACGGAGGGAGCACCTTTGATCTCAGCCCTCTGGTCCCTGGCGGGGTGTGGGAAGGAAAGGCAGGGATTAGCCCTAGGTCCCTCTCCTGGGGCGGCACTTTTAACCACGACCTCCCCGGGGATCAGCCCTGCCCCCTCCCAGGTCCCGGGACAGGCTGTGTTTGCCGTGGGGATCTGGGCAGCCGGGGCCCCTGCCTTTCATTCCCGGGCAGCTTTGCTGGCTTTAAGCACCTTGGCCGGCTCTGCCCGGCTCCCCAGGAGCAGATGGGCCACAGTGGGAACAAGCAGCAGCTACCGACCCTAAGAGGATTGGGGGCCTCTCTTCCCACCCTTTGTGCTGCTCCCCATGGGCCGTGTCACCCAGACCACAAAGGCTGTTTATGTGGCCATCTTTGGGGGTACAGGGGTCACAGCTGACAGCAGTGCCCCTGGAGATGGCAGCACCCTTCTGAACAGGAGCACCCACAGCCCCGGGACATCTAGACTCCAGGACACCAAAGAGATGTCCTGTCCTCCCCTCAACCTGGGCCACATGCAGGAAGTGGGGGACCCTTGGGGCAGTTTGTTGGCCAGGCAGCCCGGGAGGGGCGCACCATCAGCTCGCTGAGGGGTTGTGGCTTAGCCAAGGTACAGGCATGTTAGTGGGTAACTAGGGTTACTCACTAGGAACCCCAACAACCAGCAGGGCTCCCTAAAATCTTGGAAATGTGATCTGCTTTTCTGCGGTGGACTCCTTGTGGCTGTGGCCATCAGCCGGCCCTGAGGAAAAGGAAGTTGAAACTGGGCCACCAGACAGACTGAGCTAGCAGAAGCTAGAAAAGCCGGCAACAGCTCCCAGAGGGACACCTGGTGGCATGGGTTAGGCCAAGTGCCAAGGGAAAGTGGAGGCTGAGTCACAAAAAGGACGTGAATCATCTCCCTATGAGCTTATTTTTAAAAGTGGATGAGCCAAGTGTGGTGGCACATGCCTGTAAATTCCAGCTACTCAGGAGGCTGAGGCAGGAGGATCACAAGTTCAAGGTCAACCTGTGCAACTTAGCAAGACCTTGTCTCAAAATGAAATAAAAAGGGCTGGGGTAGGGTACCTCAGTGGAAGAACACTTGCCTGACATGTGCGGAGCCCTGGGTTTGGTCTCCAGTATTAAAGAAAGAAACAAAGTGAGTCAAGTGTCTATCTTTTTTTTTTGTCTTTTTCATTTTTACTGGCACCGGGGATCGAACTCACAACTGCCTGATTGCAAGGCAGGCACTTATGCTGCTGAGCTAAATCCCCAGCTTCCAAGTGTCTACTCTTTGATGAGTGAAGAGGAAACACAGGAATCAGATCAAGCCCTGGCCTGGGAGCCCCTGGGTACCAGGAAGGCAGATTTATGTGCAACAGTCTTGAGGCTGGGGGTTCTCAGCTCAGTGCAGGTGACATTTGGGGCCAGGGAACATTGTTCTAAGGGGCATTTCCATATATTACAGCATCTCTGGCTTCTATCAAAAATCTCAGCAGAGTCTGAAGCAGGAGAGACCCCACATGCATGCCACAAAAGCCTCCAGACATTGCCAGTTTCCCTTGGCAGAAGGGAGGAACAAAATCACCCTGGTCCCGACTCTAACCCTGCTCCTCTGTTCAGCCACTCAGTGCCTGCTTTTGAGCTCCAAGTGTGTATCTGGTCCCATCTAGAGCCTGGAATAGAATTATAAGGGTCAAGTTCATGCCAATCCATTGGCTTCTTTGAGGACAGAATGACATAATTTACCCAAGAATGACATTGGGCAAAAGTTACCAAAAGGCTCCTGGGAAGGTGATGATTGAGACTTCTAGAAGGATGCTGGGAGGCACCAGGGGACGAGGACATTCTGGGTCAGCAGGGCAAAATGAGCAGCCCGGGTACATCCTCCAGGCCCGCTGTGTTCGGAGCATCTCTGGGGATGCAGGTGAACTAAGAGTCCCCTTCACATATGGAGAGCTAGGGGTGCCTGGGGAAGGGTCGGCACATTGCCTTGAGGCTGTGGGAGGATGGGGCGTGATGCCCAGGGGAGGGGAGGTGGGACCCCACTCTTGAGGCTGGAGGCAGGACCCAGGCAGGCAGGGAAGGAGAGAGGATGAGACAGCTCTGCTCTGCACGGCTACAGAGCTGAGAACACCCATGGCACTGTGGTGTGGCTCTGCAGAAGGGAGCTGGGGAGGAGCACCACAGAGCTCAAAAGAGGGAGGTGATCAAGAGGACCCTGCTAAAGAGCCTCAACCTAATCCTGGGGGCACTTGGGAGCCACGGAGGGCATTCGAGCGGGGGAGCATGGCTGTGATGAGGCCGTCAAGTCAGAGGAGAAATGGAAGGAGACGGGTTGCCATGGTTTAGGGGTGAGATGGGGTGACAAGCTCGGGGAGTGCAGGGGATCGGTCCCACAGACGCCGAGCAGGTGAAGCTAACATCAGGCTTGAACATGGGCCCAGGGAGCTGGAGGAGGCATCTGGGCCCACCCGGGGTGTCTGGCAGCACAGCCCTGAAATGAATCACCGGATTAGAGACACCAGATAAAAGACCGCATAGAGAAAGAGATGTCTGCAAATCTAAGAATACAAATTATTTTTGGAACTTTGCTCTCATGCATCATCTTTAAATATTGATTACCAGCATTTTTAACGCAGTGCGCCAGGCACCGTCCTAGACACTCCATGCACAGTAACGCATTAAGTCCTCCAAACAACCCTGGAAGAGACACACTCTATCATTCCCAGCTTGCAGATTTAACAACAACAACAAAAAATAGGCACAGAGAGAGTGAATAACTTGTCCAAGGTCACACAGCTCGTGAGCAGCTGAGCCAGGAGTTGAACACAGGCAATCTGGCTCCAGAGTCTGTGCAATCTGCAGCACCGTGCTGCCAAACAAAATGTGGAGCTC